GCATCTAGTACCTTGATCCTTTGAAGGGCCAGCTATAACATCTCTAAATTAACAGAGTCATATGCTTTTGACATATATTGACACAAAATCCAGGCTTATTGTTTAGTTTCTTTCACATATTTGATGATACTGCTAATTATATGAATCGGATTTTATGTATTGCTACCTGGAAGTACATTCTAGTTGAATTCAGATAGTATTTCTTTGTGAGTCAGACACTTGGCCAGTCTATCTGTGATAATTTTGATGAATATTTTTCTTCCCATATTGAATAACATAATGGGTCTAGTGATGTCCAGATTATGCGCCTAGTCCTTAGGCTTAGGTATAGGATATATATGTCCCTTGCTCCATTCTTTAAGTGTATTACCTTGTCAGATAATCATGTTGAAAATCACTCTAAGTTCTTCACTTGCTTTGTTCTTTAGATGTTTGTATACTAGGTATGGTATCTGATTGGGGCCTAGGGCTGACTTTGAGCTATGTTATCTGATTGCTTGTGCAAGTTCTTCTGTTATAATTTCTTTTAGCATACCTTTGTAATGGTACTACTTAATATATAATTTGGGTCTATATTCAGCCTGTCACCTGGGATGTCATTCTAAATTTTGAATGTTCCTGTGTGATATCCAGTTGTAAAAGTGTTTCTTTACTTTAGTTTTAATTTTTGCTAGTTCTGTAACTATCTATTCTTCTTCTCCTTGTTGGATAATGAGTTTGTCTAGTTGTATTTGTTTTCTAGGTCTTTTCAAGATACTATTTATCATGGCACACTTATTGTTATTGTACTGTTCTTATCTTATTTGAATTCTTTTTCTTATTGTAATGAGCTGTTTTCTATGAGAGATGACATTTGCAACTGTTTTGTGAATCTTTATGTTGCCTTGAATTACTTTAATCCATTCTTTAAGGTATGTGTTAAGATATTTGGCTTCTAGTTTTTCAAATGTGGGCACTATATCTGGGACTGACTTTTGTATGCTCACTAGAATCTGAGGTGGCTGATATATTTTTTCTTCTTTTTTGTCTTTTAATTGTTGTCTTGCCTGTATAAGAAATTTCTGTAGTTGTATTATAAGTAGTACTTCTTCTATGTCTTTGACCTGATATCTTTTTCTCTGATGTGATTTCTTTTTTGGAATGTATTTTTTGACTACTTTCTGAATAGTATCACTGAATTGATTCCATCTGTAATCCAGGAGTTAATGACTTGTGCATTCTGTTTATATGTTGCATTCGATGTATTCGTTAAACTTTTCTCACTGCTGGGTTGTGATGAGTTGCTATTTGTATCTGTAATTGTGTTTGTAATAAGTTGCTTGTTTAGAAGTGTTGAGGTTCTATACTTCTATTTCGACTATCATTGTGATATGGTCACTTAGAATTGATAGTGCAGTAAAGTCTTGGATGGTGGCTATTTTTGATTGCCATGTTGCCTGAAGACTCATCCAAATTTGATCGATTCTACTGCTACTTCCCCCTCTACTACAAGTATATTCTCTCTTTGTGGGGTTATATGTCCTATATATGTCTTTCAAGTTATTATTAAAAGGATTTATATTTGTTTTCCTGAAGGATGGTGTTTTTTAATTATTTTCATACTACTGTGCTTGTCTATTGCTGGGTTGGGAACTCCATTTATATCCCCTGCTACTAGAAGATGCCATCCTTTCTCTGTTATTTCTTTGATTCATTTTCTTAAGGCGTTGAGTACCCTTCATTTTTTTCCTTTCATATCTTATACAGGGAAGTATATTCCAATTATTCCTATTTTTTCTTTGTATAGGAAGGTCAGGTCAGTTGCAATGTGTCTATTCATGAGTGTTTTGTAATTATAAATTCTATATTCAATGTCCTTATTAATTATTATATTTAGGTCTTGTCTGCTGATTTGTGCTTCTTTATGGATCCATATAGTTTAAATTTTTTTTTGTTGTCAATGTTTTGATTGTTGATGTGAACTGTTTATCTCTGTGGTGATTATGATATCCCAGTTTGCTGCATCACAAAAATTGAATCATGTTTCACATTTGTGTATCTCTACTAGACTTTGAATATTGAATATTGCAATCTTCTATATCAATTTATATTCTGTATGTGTTGTTATGGATATTGTTATACCAGTTGTTGCATTGCTTATATTTGAATAGTGGTTTAAATTTTTTTCTACGTGGTATATTTCTTCTGTTTGTTGTTTTGGTATATTGTGAAAGTTTGTCATTTGCTTGTTTCTGAAATTGTTTGATTCTTCTACAAATATAGTGCTCTGATTACTGCCCATTATTGTCTATGTAGGGGGGAATGTATGCTACCTATAATGGAATTTAGTATGGTATTGTACATCTGATCCATATGTCTGTCCAGTTTTTGCATGGATGATTGAATACATTGTTGTTGGGTACAGATGTCTTGGGTACTATTTTGGGATGTTGTGTCTATTACTGGACTTTCCTCTGTATCGAGGGGAAAGGTGTCTTCATCCATTTGTCTTGTGTAGTCTTCATTGTATGTCTCTAAGTTAACTATATGTTCCTCTAGGTCAGCTATGTCTTCTTTTATCTCTTGGATTTCTTGTCTTATGGTCACAAGAATGTGAAGTATTTCTGTCATGGATGTTTGGGTGGAATAAGAATGTGTCTCCACTTATTTGAGTAGTCTTGCTGCTGCTTATAGAAGACTGGCCTGACCTTTCTCTAATTATTGTATATGGTTGCCCTTCTCCTTATAGTTTCAGTACATATTGGCCTAAACCTGTTATGCAGTTTACCAAATATATCAGCCTGTTCTGTATTGTACTGGTTCTATTGTGTTATTTTTTCATTGATTGGACACTGAGTGACTAGTGTGTTGCACTCCCACATATGGTACAAAGTTTTATATCAATTGGTTTCCATTCTGCTTGAGTTTCTCCAAGGAGAACATTCTATATTGTTGCTACTTCAGGTTCTCTTGATTCATAAAGCCAATGATTGTGAACTGCTTGTATCTATATGATATGTACCTAGGAATGTAGCATGTCTTGACTCTGATTTGTTCACATGTTAGTCTAAGGTTGAAGGCAGTGGTATTGGATGGAAGGTTTGTTAACTTGACTATGATATTTCTATGTGCTTTTATTTGGTCCATGTCCCATTGTGCATCAAAAATTCTGATTGAGTCTGATTATAGCAAAATACCCCATTTGGCAACTAGATCTTTCTTTATCTGTTTGTCTGCATAGGTGATGACTGCCGATTGCTACATTTGTTGTATAGGCATATCGATGTTTGTAATCTCTCAAAATTTGGCAAAGGTCTATTGTATCTCTATAAATTTTGTATTCAAGGGGATATTCCATACCTGATACTGTTTTTCTTATTTGGTCTAGGGGATATAAAAGCCATGTTTTAAGATGAACCCCATCTATTTCAAGTAAGATAGTGTTGCATATTTCTTCTGCAGTATGGTGATCACTGAAAATAGCAATAATATGTTCCTCATTTCCTTTTCCTTTATTGCAGGTAGAGAGAAGATCAATGAGTATGTTTAAGCTTTTTGCAATGTGTGCTGTCTTTTGGTTGATAGTTCTTCTTGGGACTTCTGATGCTTTGATAACTGTTTTGACTCTTTCCCTTTTGAATCTTGTTATTGGGTCAATAGGTGATCTTGGTTTAGGTTTACTTACTCTGCTAATTGATACATTTCTATGGGAGACTTCTGTTATTGCCCATTGAATTCAGATCTTGTCTGGCTGCTAGTGTCTGGTTCCCTTATTTCTATGTCTGAGTCATCTATTATTGCTACTGTAAATATGGTAGAAGAGTTTCTACTTTGTTCATTTTCTTGGATATTTCTACCTTTGTCACTTTTGTTAGTTTGTGTATCTTGTGTGATTATTTCTTCCACTTTATCACTTCAAGTCGGTTGTTTTTGATTGGTTTTCTTTTCTCTGATAGTTTCTGTACTTGAAGTTATAGGCTGGCTTGTATTCTGGTTCCTTGTCTATTCATTTTTAACATTTTCTAGAAGGGTTTCTCTTTCTTTTCCTTTGTTTTTTGGATTTGATTTTATTGTCTCCATATGGGTTTCTTGTATAGCAGTCTTGTGTTACCTTTTGCCAGGATATTCTTATTGTAGTTGGGTCTGCCCTGGGTGTATAGACTTTTGCGGTCTCTAGGAGAACTAATCTTTCCATTCACTTTTCTTCTTATTTTCCAAAATTGCCTAAAAAGGAAATTTTTAAGAAAAAAAGGATCTATCGAAAAGAATTTTTTTGTTTTTTAGATTGATTATTTTTTTAAAAAATTAACAAATAAATTATTTTATATTGTAAATATTTTTATAATATTTTAATTAAATATTATTTATTTTTTTAAAAAAAAGAATAAAAATATTTTTAACTAATTCATTGGTATTTTTGTAATAGTACTTGTAAATAATATATTGATAGTTGAGAGTTTTTATATAAACTATAAATAGAGTAATAAATTATATACAAAGTTCTATTTAGAGTTAATATAACTAAAAAAGTGTATTGGTTAAAGATTTAGTTTTAACATTACACAAAATTGTATAGTTTACTAAAAGTTTAATAAATTATATATAACTAGCTTGATAGAGAATAATATAAAGTAGAAATATATATATATTCTCATATTTTTAATTAAAATATTTAAAATTAACTATTTATATTATTAAATTAATTGTTTATGAAAAAATTTTTTAATAAATTAAATTTATAAATATTATATATGCAAATTAAAAAATTATTTTTATACTATTATTTTACAATCTAAATTACTTTTTTATAGAAGCCAAAAAACTATTGCATTAGCTTATATTATATTAAAATACAGAGTATTTTATATCTTCCTTTAAGTAAAAAAGAATACTCAATATAAAAGGACTATAAATAAATTATTGATTTAATTGTTTTTTTATTTAATAAAAATAAATTTTGATATAACTTAAAAAAATTCATATGATTTCACATAATTTAAATCAATATATAGTATATTATATATTTTATTAAATATTTATTGGTAAAACTTTTAATATAATTCAGAGGTCTACAAAATTTATATCTAAAGTATCAATTTCAAAGTTATTTCTTGGAATCAATAAAGATAAATATTTTCTTCATTTAATAAAAAACCTAAATTAATCCACATCCATTCTTTCTTGAAAATTTTCAAAGTTATTTAGTTCATCTTGTGCTTTCTTTAATCCTCCTGCTGCTGCCTTTTCCAAGTATTCCTTATATTTATCCATGTTGATCTCATATCCATGTTCTCCATTACGGAATAGCTGAGAGACCATGTATAAAGCATCAGGATTTTTATTACCGAGAGCAGCCTTTCTAAGATTTTTTATGCCTTCTTCTGGTGAATAATAAGATCCGTTGAGACAAGCCTTAGCGTACATATATCGGCCTCGTGGTTCATTACCGTCAGCAGATTTTTGAAACAATTGTAGGGCTTTAATCTCATCTTTTTCAATGCCATATTTTCCGTCGTAGAGATAAAGGCCTGCATAGTATGCAGCTACTGGATCTCCTTGTTGTGCTAGCTGTTGAAAGTGCGGGAAAGCTTCTGGATATCGTTTTCTATCATGAAGTAATATGACTTGATCAAGAGGTAGTAGGCGAGATAACGGCGTGTCCTCTGAATTGTTATCTGCCAACTTTGTGGAGGAAAAAATAGTTTCACCATTTTCTATTTTTACAAGTCGCTTTCGTATGTCATCAATTGTTGGACGCTTCTTGGGATCCTTTTGCCAGGCTTCTTCGACCAATTCTTGATATGGAATTGGCGTGTCTTTAGAGAATGGGCTAGGATGTTCTCCTTTTACAACATTTATGCTAGCTTTTACTGGATTATCGACTTCATTGAAGGGAAGTTGGTGTGATGAAATTTCCCATAGAAGAATTGCGAAACTACAAATGCATTGGATCTCGTCAGATGAATTTTCAAGCAGATGCGCGTATTTCCATTTTACGTATTATTCGTTACCTATATACTTCGCACTTGTCGGTGTATGGTTGCTTTGGATATTCTATTTTTTCTGGTGCAGTCCATCTAAGTATTTCGAAAATAAAGTCAAATAAATTATTTGGAATTGTCCTTAACAGTTAAAATGCAATATAGATGACACATATTTTTATTTTTAATCAATTTCATTTATGGTGTCACCTATAATGCTTTGTAACCATATTTAACATTTAAAATTGTGGCAACCTTAAAGCATCAAGTGGAATTTCGCTTGATATATCACCAAACTTTCGACTGAATCCGAAATTAGTAAGTTTGGCATCTAAGTTTTGGCTGAGCAATACATTCTTGCTTTAACCGAAAATTTTTATAATTAAGATGAACTTTAAGCTTTGTGTATATAAAAATGATAAATTAGTACGATCTAATATACCTTCTGACATCTCGATGATAAACTTCTACGCCCCTGCAAAAATTAAGGCCCGTGGCAACTTGTTTTGCGATCTTCAGTTTGGTTTTCCAAGGAATTAATGTATTGTTGCGTAAGTAATCATGGAGATTTCCATTTTGCATCCACTCAGTAACCACGAAGAGGTAATCTTTTAGGGAATCAGTTTCAACCTCTTTTTTAACATAGATACCAACACTATTGTATAATATAATGAATTGAATTATAATCAACAAAATATTTGAGAACAGGGACGTCGTCGATACTTACAATCTTTCAATTTGTTGACAAGCGCTAAGTAACCTAATTATATTCGCTTCTTTTGCAATTTTCATTTGTTGTGAATTAAGATTTTCCACTTCTACTTTTTTCACGGCAACATCTTCGCCATTATAAATCCGTTTTATGATTCTCTTGTTCGGCATTTTATCACTAGCATCATCGGGATCATCATCAAAGAGGTTTGGATCAATATTCAAATCTCTGATTTCTTTCTCTGTCAGACTGTCTCCTTTTTGCGTGAGCATAATTTTCAAGGCAGTATTGGTCACTTTTCGTATTTCTTTAATTTGATTGTTATTATCAATCAACACGTTGCTATAAAAATCGTTTGTAGCGTCCTCCAGTCTCTGCAGTAAATTTTCATTTGCAGCTTCAATCTTGAATAAAAAAATTTTGATACATCAATTTTTTATAGAGATAAAATGTCCATTTTTAGCATTCACTTAGACTTACACTTTTCGCATTCGCTATATTCATGAACCATGTTTTCATCTTCACGTTAAACTTTCCAGGTTTGTCAATTTCAAAGACATATGACTTTATGTCGTTCAGCACATTTTCGTAGACTCTCCGTGGTTCCTCCAAATAATCTTGCGATGAACACCTAGCAATAATTCTTAAGCTTTCTTGTACTCGTTTAGAAATATATTTGCATGCCTCCTTGTTATGTTGTGCACATTCCGCTCGTTCTATAATTTTTTGAGCGATTGCCGCGGCAGTAGTTCCAATCAATGGTATAGCACCACATGTTTGAACGAAAGTGAACTTAGCGACGTCCACCAAATCGTCATTTACTAAAGACTCTTCCATTTTGCTATTTTTGTTGAATGGTCAGAATGTTCAGCACACGAAATTTACCGTATAT